AAAATAAATGAAAAGTAATCATATTTTAAGTAATCTATTAAAGAAATTAGTCTATATGATCACATAAAGAAATATATATATTACTGGTACTAAATTTATTTGGAAACATTTTCCAAAAATTCCATTTTGAATAAAGTTCTACTAGCAGCACACATCTGATAGTCCAGTCATCCATGCCAATGAGGGAAATAAATATAAATATATATTTATTAAAAGTAAATAAAACATAAAACTTAACAAAGTCGCTTTTTTGTTCCCTTCCATATGCATTCCCCCCACTCCCAAAGCAAAGCAGAATGTGAATGTGGTACTTCTCTTTCCAGTTCAATTTTAATAATTTTACTACCTACGCATGCATCCATAAATACACAGTATGGACTTGTGTGTTTTTTAAATGTAAAGAGACGGTATCTTATTGTGTCACACACACAAAAGCTCCATGTCACAGGCTGTACTTCTAAATGCAGCCACCTGTGGCACGTACAGGTCAATGAGGAAACGTGGATAGCTCCATGCAAAGACATCGGTACCATTCTACAGGTAAGAAATATTCCACTGGGTCACTAGAGTTAGTTTTTAATTTCTGCATTTTCATGTCTGTCAATAATCTCTGTCTGGTTTATTAGGGAAAATGTTTTTTTAAAGCATTCCTGACATTTTAAAATTATTTTCTTAGTCTTTTTTTCAAAGTCTAGTTTCTTTCTCCAAAATTAAAATACGTGGAAATAAAAGAAAATGTTCCTGGATCTTGGAGAGTGGAATCCTTCATACTGGAAGCTATCGTAAAAAAAAAAAAAAAAAAAAAAAAGAATGATGAATAAGAGGGGAAGCTGACATGGCAGTGAAGGGAAGAGGTCAGATCATCCTTGACTGGAACTACTAATCCTAATGCCAGAGACTTGGAGGCAATTTCCTGCTGCAGTGCTCCAGAAGCCTTAAGAAATCTGCCCTCCCTTTCAAGAGCGCTCTTCTGCAAACTGCCCGGGGATTTGGTTCAGGCTTTGGCCTCCCTAGCCTACAGTTCAGATTTTGTAAATTTACCAAAGCCTAACTCCGACAGCTACCCAAATTGTAGAAAGCATTCTATCTCTAACCATTCTACATTGCTTAAATTTCTCAGTTATTAGAATAAGATTTAGCTAAGGTGCTACATTTCTAAAGTATTAAAACTTCAGAAATTGAAAATCTCTGAAGGATTCCAAGATATTGCACACCAAGTTAAGGGAACCACACAGCTGGAGAACAGGGGAGAAGGGAGAATTGCTTTTCCCTAATAAGATTTAATACCTTTTGTATTTTGTATACCTATTTATAAAATAATTTTAAGACACAACAGTAAGCAATATTGTCAGTGCAGACGAAAAGTTAAAATTTAAAAACTCAAAATTTTAGCAAGCCTATTTTTAAAACAGATTTTCCTAAAAAGTATTCTATATGAATATTTAAAGTGGCAATCTAATATTTTAGTAATAATATAAGGGTTCCACTTTAAATTTGAATCCTATTAAAACTTCCCGAGAGTTTTAACTTCTGAATAGCAATACACAAAGTGAAAACCACTCTTTTAAAAACAATAAACACAACTTGGAATGACAAACAAAAACGGTATAGAATTGTACACTATGTTGTATAATTCAGATACTATTTAAGTCATTTTACTTCAGTTTCCTGAAGACATGTATGTGGAGTTGTGAAGGAGCATACCATCTGCCTTAGAGCTGCCTGCAGCATCCTTCTACCTACAGATAGGGTCTCATTCCTTCTTCGCTGTCTCCCTAAGCTAAGGCACGAGGATTCGCTTAGTACTTAAAACCTATATGTTGGTGAACACAAAATGACTACAAAATAAAGGAAAAATCATCAATCTTATACATTCTTGATTATAATTTAAGTAAATTTTAAAACATAACTAACATACCTCTGTTTTAGGACACCTTTTCCTGAAAAAAAAATTGCAAGAAGGCAAAACTCAACTTTCTGATTCTACCTAAGATAAAAACCAAAACTCCATTCTAATCCAAAAAGCAGATAACAAACTTTTCAATATTTATCTTTTTTTTTTTTAAGATTTTTTGTTTATTTGACACAGAGAGAGCAAGCGAGAGAGAGAGAGAGAGAGACACAGAGCAAGCACAGCAGGGGGAATGGCAGGCAGGGGAGAAGCAGACTCCACGCTGAGCAAGGAGCCCGATGTGGGGCTCGATCCCAGGACCCCGCGATCATGACCTGAGCCAAAGGCAGCCGCTCAACCGACTGAGCCACACAGGCGCCCCTCAATATTTATCTTTAATCACTATGTTTGTTAAATACTTATAATCTTCCAATGATCAGATCACAATTTTAAAAATAGTTTCTGCTAAAAGAAAATGACACTAGATCAATTTATGAAAGGGACAACCCGAGCACTGGACCCTTCATATGTCATTAACTCTAACCTCAGCAAGACAGTCATTTGCTAAACATTTAGCAAATATCAAATTCTTAGCTTTTTATTAATCACTTAGGCTCTCTGACCTTTTGACACATTAGTTGATGCCCCTAAAACCACCAGCTAAATGAAAAGGTTATTAACCAGGCAGTCACTACTTGTTAAATTATCACAAAGCTAAAAGCAAGTTTGTTTTAATTGGTACTTTTTTTTTTTTTGCAAGACAGTGAGAGAGAGCAAGTGAGCACAAGCGGGGGAAGGGGCAGAAGGAGAAGTAGACTCCCCGCTGAGCAGGGAGCCTGATGTGGGACTTGATCCCAGGACCCTGGGATCATGACCTGAGCCGAAGGTAGACACTTCACCGACTGAGCCACCCATATTTTTGAATGTCAATTAAAAACAAGAGAATTTCTATCATTAAGTCTCTAAGTAAATTATAAGTCATACATTATTTTCCAAGTACCACACTTCCTTGTCTGTGTCTTTCTTCCTCCTATTAGCCAGGCAACTAGCACCTGGGCCAGCCCCTTGTCTAGTCAGGAGCCCATTCCGTATGTAGCTGCACATGTCTACTAGGTCCATTAAAATCATTTCTAAATGCAACTGATCAAAAAAAATTATTATATTATATATCCACTTTAAAGATTTTATTTATTTGACAGAAAGACTGCACAAGCAAGGGGAGTGGCAGGCAGAGGTAGAGGGAGAAGCAGACTTCCCACTTAGTGGGGAGCCTGATGTGCAGCTCGATCCCAGGACCCTGAGATTATGACCTGAGCCGAAGGCAGGCACTTAACCTACTGAGCCACCCAGGTGCCCCTCTACTTGAAGTTTTTAAAAAAGAAACCAAAGAATGCTCTCATACAAACATATAAACTAAAAAAAGTATGTATTAATGTAGGTTCAAACAGAAAACATGATCTTATGTAAACCACTCCAAACTTTACTTTTAGTCATATTTATAATTTAAAATATATATTTCTCTAATATTTTACATAACAAAAATCTCTATATATTTCTCTAATATTTTATATAACAACAAAAATTCTGTTTCACTATAGGGCATAACTACTGTAAAATGAGGTTCAGGACAGGTTGTAACAGCGCTATAACTCACAAGTGCAATTATGATGGTATGTTTCACTAAAATAGACATAAGATTGGTTGTTTAAATAAACATACAGCAACTGTTTACAGTGATGGAGATAAAAGACTAACAACCAATTTGAAAAGAAAGGAAAGGGCGGGAAGAAGAAAGAAGGAAGAGAATGATTAAGAACCTGAATTTGGGAGCACCCGAGTAGCTCAATTAGTGGAGCAGCCGCTCTGGATTTCAACTCTTGATTTCGGCTCAGGTCATGATCTCAGGGTCCTAGGATCCAGCCCCACATCCAGCTCCATGCTCAGTGGGAAGTCTGCTTGAGGATTCTCTCTTTCCCTCTCCCTCTGCCCCTCCCGCCACTCCAGCTCTCGCTCCCTCTAATAAATAAATAAATAAACAAATAAATAAATCTTTAGAAATAAAAAAAAAAATTTCAAGTCTGGCAGAAAAAAGAAAAAGACAACTGTCACTAGGACCTCCTACAACATCACCAATATCAAATCAAACAAAATCTAGCTCTGGCAGAACACAGCAGATAAAATACATTATCAGGAAGATTAAGTAACTAAGCAGGAAGACCAAGTAAATTTCTTGGGTTCTGAAATGAAACACCTTGTGAACACTGCATCAGATACACAAGTAAAATGCTTTTCCGTTTCAGTAAGACCATAACTTGTAAAGCTGAAGGGATTTTGATAAACATGAAACCTGTGTATAAGACAACAGTGTGTGTGTGTGTGTTAGTATGCACATGCACACATATGTGAATGCTGGGAAACAGTGATTGTGCACACAAAGTTGGCTAATCACAAGAAAAAGTTCAAGATTAACAAACAGTAAAAGAAATTATGAAGAAAAAATTATGGGTCTGTTACTTAGCTGTCCTAAAGCCTCCTCAAGCCTCATATTCCTAAACTGGCTTTTTAATATCACTACACACCCATCAGTAAGAAAGCAATCTGCTTTCACAAAAGTATGTACAAAATTTTCCAAAATCATTATCAGTGACTGTTATACTTTCCCTTGTTACAGTGTTTATTTAAACAAACACTATTAAGAAGTATTGGTAAGTATTTTGCCTCTACCAAAGTATACATTCACTAACTTTTTGCTCAGATAAAGCTGAAAATAATGAGACTGCAGAATATCTTTGTGAATATTAAAACTACTTTAAAATGGAAAATTGAAACTTCAATAAACATATTCTAAACTGCTACTATGTTTCAGAGACAAGCCATACTATTTAGAAGTAACAGGAAAAAACAAGAATGTGCATCTTCTATTTCTGTGCTCAATAGTAAATAATTATAATTTTGCTTAAATATTATATATTCACATTATCTAGTTTTAAAATTGAAAGGGTTTTGTTAATTCTTTCGTCACATTTCCTTGAAGTTACTCTAGATTCTATTCCTGATAGCAATATAACTCATAGCTACCACAATAAAATAATCTTTATGGTGAACTTACACTACAGTTTTCAGGTGGAACTAGAAGCTGAGTAATCTCACCACCATGCACACAGAAGATATGTTTCATTTCTCCAGAAAATATGTCCCAAATTATGACTGAAAAATCCACGCCTCCAGATATCAGATATCTTTGGTCATAACGAGCTGAGACCTGATGAGGATATAGCAAACATGTGACTTTGTTCCGATGACCGCGGAGGGTTCTGTGAGGTGGCCAACCTGTGAATAAGGTTTTGGATTTAAAATGGGAAAATTAAAGTCTTACAAAGTTTCAACAAATAAAAGCAAACATGAATTGTCAGAATAGCTATAAATTTTATCATAGAAAAAACTTCTAATTTTATCTTCTAAAATACTCTGTCCAATACAGTAGCTACCGCTGACTCATATGTGCTGTAAAATACAGAGGAGGTTTCAGAGATTTAGCCCAAAAAAGTAATGTAACATACCTCATTTGTAATTTTTTATATTGACTGCAATTGATTTTATATTGTAAACCTGAAATTTTATTCAATTCTACAAGTTGAAAATAGTTTTGCTATATTGAGTTATATAAAACAGATTATTAAAATTGATTTCAGCTGCTTCATTTTTACATTAATTGTGAATATAGAAAATCACATACTGTTATATATACATATTTCTACTGGACAGCGTTGTTCTAAGACTGGCAGTATTACCGATAACATGGTAATTACTTAGTAAGCTATAGAGATAACTAATAATAAATGAAACTATTATATATCAAGAGGTAAAATCAGATACTTCTTACATATAATCATTACATGGTATATATTCCAATAATAGGTACTAAGTATTCCTTACCTGCACTGCCATTAAATTCTACCAACTCCTAGCACACTAACAACTAAGCTGGTTCATTGTACTTGTTACAAACAAAGAGGGCAAATACTGTCAATGTCATGGTTACAGAGTTCTCAAAACATGTTAGACATTGGCAGATCTTCAGTATACCTCTTCGGAGCATGTGTTCCCCTTGCAGCAGCTGTACAATGGCTGTCTGTGTGGCAGGCACAATGATGATGCTTCCATCCTCACGGCCACAGACAAGTCGTCCATGTGCTGGTATGTACACACTTGCGGTTACTTTAAGAGGTTCATTACTACTGGGAATCACACTCAGCTGATCTATAATTCCAGCAGGACAAGGATTCAGTTTATCAAATGCCTCTTGCAAACTAACAGAAGTTGTCATTTTCAGTTCTGTAGAGGTTTTGTTTTGTATTAAAAAAAAAAAATTGTCCATGTTAGAAAAAAATTAAACATTAAAATAAATGTACTTACGGTTGATTCAGTAATACATATCAAAGAACTGTCACAAACTATAATTCTAAGAAGAATACAATGACATATGTACATTATGAATTTATTATGCAGTGGTTAGTATTTAGGTTGCTAAATTAAAAGAATTAAGAAATTGCTGCACATGATTTATTACTATCTTCTTTACCTTCCTGTTTATCAGGTGTGTCTGATATGTTCCAAATATTCAATCTTCCTGAAGAATCACCTTGAATTAATAGTTTGTGGAGGTGTTCCTTGAATCCATAGAAAAACCGAGTAACAGGAGGACAAATTAGCAACTGCCAAAAGAAAAAAAAAAACTGTTCAAATATTTTTAGTTGTCCTTTATTTATTTATTTTTAGATAATCTCTACACCCAACATGGGGCTTGAACTCATGATCCTGAGATCAAGAATCGCATGTTCTACCAACTGAGCCAGCCTGGTGCCCCTTAGCTACCTTTTTAATCAAAATATTTTACATATTAACATTTTTCAGATAAGGATGTTAAGTACTCTGCCTCAGAACAGAGTAAAAAAAAAGTGTTTATAGCATGAGTCTTCAACAATACTTTAATGTAATTTTATAGCATTAATTACATGTCAACTAATATTCAAGTCCAATAAAATACAAATATGCAAAGAAATGAAAACTACATTTATAGTCTTTCTCTAAAATTAGTATTTATATTCTTTCTCTCACCACAACAATGCAATTTATTTGTCTCCTATTAAATAATTAATACAAAGATATACCACCCTTTACCAAAAATAAAAGTCTCCACTTTAAAGGTCTAAAGGGGAGAACTAGCTAATCCTAGCTTTCTGCCCATTCCTGATCAGTCACTAGGAGTAGCAGCAAAATTAAACGACCAAGATTATACAAGTAGAAGACTCCATTTTTTTTAAGCAGTATATTTTCAACTAATAACATGACATTTTACTTGGTCACATTTACATAATCAATTTGAACCTAGCCTGATATGTTAACTATAAACCACTAGGAACAAAAACCATTCATCAGGCTCTTGTGTATACTTTCTTTTAAAACAAATTATTTTTCTGCTTTTATGCCTTCAGTGATATCACTTATTTGAAAATACTAAATAGGGGTGGGCTCAAAAAATTATAAAGTTTAGATTATCAATTCACAAATGCCTGAATATTAAAGCATAGAATCTTATCCTGAAAAGCAGAAAAAAATATATTTCAGTTTTGACAATTATAGTTAACAATCTAATTACTATATTTGGTGTTAGTTGTTTCTAAAAAAATCACTAGCCTATAGAAACTATATATATTAAGCATAATCAATTATGTGATTTAACTTAAAGTCAGAAAATTATTGTTGTAACTGATAAATGGATGTTGTCATTCATGTTGTAAATGACATGTTGTAACTGATAAACAGTTTTCTAAAGTAGAGAAAAATTAATGTTGTAACTGATAAACAATATCCCTAACATGGAGAAGTTGCTACAGCAGCTATAATAACCAATATTCCATATTCCACAGTGTGAGTATCTCATACCATACAACACATGTATCTTAACTTAAAACATATTGGGGAGCTGGTATTTTAAAAAACATAGTATGTACTTTGTTTTGCTTTGTTTTATCTATGTTTTTTATACAAGTCATTATCCCTTAGTTTACCTGGAAGTGACTGTTTGGAGAAGGAGGTGTTCCAGTTAGGAGAATAAAGGATAGGTCATAGAGCATCTTAACTGTACAGAGATGCAGAAATTCTGTAAATTTAAAATATTAAAAAAAGAAATTCCCTTCCCCTCACCATTCCCTCACATAAAGATGGAACAAAAAGTTCAAAATGAAAAAGGTGTGCAAACCCAGAATATAAGTAAAGGAAACTTTACTTCCAAAACCAAAGCTTTGTCCTTAATGCTCAAAAAATATAAGGATGAAAACCCAGTACTAAGTGCCACTGCATTTCCATTCTAAATTGATATTAAGTAGGTTTTTAGACGTCAGGGGCATCTAGGTGGCTCAGCTGATTAAGCATCTGCCTTCGGCTCCGGTCGTGATCTTGGAGTCCTGGGATCGAGCCCCATGTCAGGCTCCCTGCTCGGTGGGGAGCGTGCTTCTCCCTCTCCCTCTGTTCCCCTGCTCCTGCTCTCTCACTCACTATCTCAAATAAATAAATAAAATCTTAAAAAAAAAAAAATCATAATAAACTTTGGTTTTTATAGAGAAAAATTTCTTTTATTCTTTATTTCTAATGCCTGATAATTTAAAACGCTATATGATTTGGGGGATATACTGCAATGCCTTATCCAAGTAATGAACTATTACTGATCGGCAGTATTCCATGATTATCTTTGCCCTCCTAAAATTATACCTGTCACTTTGTTTACAATTGCATTATAGCATAAATTTATGCCATCAATATTTTACCAAAAAGTCATTTCCACTATGTAATCAGTATAAGATCATCTGTATACTAGGAGAAATGTGAACACTAAAGCATATTATATGATCAAGATATGCAAATTTTAGAACTGTGCTTATAATTGACCATGTCAAAATGTTTTATGACATTTAACACTGCCCTGAATCTTTCAAATTCTTAGCTACCAAAAGACACTGATAAATGCAGTTGTGAAAAATTTTCAATGTCACTATCAATCATAAATGATACCTGAAAAATTTTACCTCTTTATCTGTTCGATCCAAGAGGCTATGTTGTACAGGAGGAATTAAATTTTCAACTGCTTTCCCCACATCACTGCGAAATGAATCACTAGCTGGAAGGCAACTGAAAATGAGAAAAATATAACATTCAATTAAAATACTGGCATTAAATATTTTATCATACCATATGAGGAGGATTTTTTGGACAATGGACAAAATACGGATTTTCAAATTACAGTTAATTTAATGTAGGCATTAAATTGTCATTAAAATACCCTACTTCAAATAAGGACCCACCTAATTTTTGTACTTAGAAGTTAAACTGGAATTATAAATCTAACTTAAGAAGTTTTGAAGTTTTTTACCTAAAATCATTTACATTTTCATACATTCAAGTTACACCCTGAATTCAGACTCTTTTGCTTTGATTAAAACTAACTTATTATTGATTGAATACCTGGCAGGTAGTTTGTAAATATAACTTTGCCCATTTTCAGTCCAAATGATTACTTTATCTGCTGATACAAAGTCACCTCCAGTCCACGTCTGTCCATTTTCACTAGGACCTGAACACAGCAAGGAATAGTCTCCAGCATCAAAAACCTACAAGGAACAAGAAATTCGCAATCTAATCCATGTTGGTGTCATTTAATTAAGATACAGTGACATTTAAACTAAAAACACAGGACACCTGGGTGGCTCAGTCAGTTATGTGTCTGCCTTTGGCTCAGGTCATGATCCCAGAGTCCTGGGATCGAATCCTGCATCGGGCTCCCTGCTCCACGGGGAGCCTGCTTCTCTCTCTGCCCCCTGCTCGTGCTCTCTCTCACTCTCTCTCTCTAATAAATAAAATCTTAAAAAAAAAAAAAGACTAAAAACAAAACAAAACTTCTGGAAATGTATTTACCAAGCTCAGGCCTTTAAAATTCACTACCTCAAGTTAAAGACATTGTGTCAGAGAGCCCTAGGGCTCCGTCATCTTCACCAGGGAAAACACAACTAGGTCCCCAGCTGTGTGCCTCTCAGCAGTCAGGCATATGACAAGTGGAGCAGGCGTGCTGCCTTACATAGGGACAGGGAATCCTTGGCCTTTTTTATCTAAAGGGAGGAATGTTCCATCAAAGAATTCCAAGACGTAGGGAACCAGCCTCTAGAATGCATGGTTATGACTCCTGTTTTATTTCTATGTTCAGTAACAATATTTCTAACAAACTCAGACATCAGAATATCTCTTTATCAATATGGGAATGACCTTACTTTATTTCATTCAGGGACTGAAGTACCGTAAATAGAAAGTTAAAAGACTCAGTTTTATTATTTAATAATTCTCACGTATAAAAGTCCCCCACACAACCCTCCAAAAGTCAAGTCCCTAAAATTTCATCAGCAACACAGGCTATCTGGAGCTTTGTACCTGTAAGGCACATCAATGTTTACAAAGTCCCTTCACATCATTATCTCGCATGAGCCTTAGAAGGACTGCAGGATTAACTGCTATCCCATTTTACAGATGGCAAACTGACATAAATAAGGGTTACATCACCAGCTCAAGGTCCCATGTCCAGTAAGTGCTAAAGCTAGGACGAAAAACCCTGATCTCATAATTCCTAGAAGAATTTTTCTACCACTCTTAATAACTGGTAAAAGTACATTCTACAATGCTAAAAAATTCAATTGGGTCAGAATTTTTATTTTAGTTTTCTTTAAATAAAAAGCAATCAAACTGCTTATACAAGAGCCTTTTCAAAATTAAAACAAATCCTAGCCAAATTTACCATGATTTGCTATATTTATCATTTATTACATTAACACTACAAGAATAGCCAAGACAAGTCTAAGAAAGAATGGAGACCACCCTCCAGCCTTATTATCTATGAAAACAAATTATAAAGCTTACAGAAAATAAAACAATACAGTACTGATGCATAAACAGAAAAATCAACAAGTCCAGAAACAGATTCCAGTAATTACAGGAATAGAATATATTATAAAGGCACAACAATAGAAAAGTGAATTATTCAACAAATGGCATCAGGAACCGGGGGTCCACGTGGAATAAAGATAAAATTGGATCTACACCTTGCAATTTATACAAAATAAATTCCAGATTAAATATTCGAAGGTATATAAAGTAAAATTATACAAATATTAGGAATCTCAGCTTGTGATGGGCCCTTTAGATCATCTAACAAACTGTTAGAACCCATAAAAGATGATAATCTAACCACTTAAAATAGAAAACTTCTTTTTGGCAATAAGTATTTGGAAAACTCATTCTATTCAGTCAGTACTACTATCTTAGTGTTGTTTTACTATGCATTTCTCTGGGGCGCCTGGGTGGCTCAGTCGTTAAGCGTCTGCCTTCGGCTCAGGTCATGCTCTCAGGGTCCTGGGATCGAGCCCCACATCGAGCCCCGCGTCGGGCTCCCTGCTCGGCGGGAAGCCTGCTTCTCCCTCTCCCACGCCCCCTGCTTGTGTTCCCTCTCTTGCTGTGTCTCTCTCTGTCAATAAATCATCTTAAATCAATCAATCAATCAATCAACAAATAAAATACTATGCATTTCCCTGATGATTAATGAAGCTGAGCACCTTTCTATGCATTTGTTAGCCACCAGCTTTCTTTTATGAAACATTTTTGTCCCTTTTCCTATTGGATTGTCTTTTTGTTCTGGTCTCAATGTTTTTAAAATGCTTATTATGAACACACAAGAAACTGGTATTAGATGCTGCCCCTGGGGAGGGGAAGGGAAAGGATGCGTACTTTTCAGTGTGTCCTCTTGCTCCCTGATTTTATTACTATTTGCATGTGCTCTAAATTTTAAGACAAAGGAAGGATCCCATCTAGCTCACCGTAACAGCAGCTGCTAGCTTCTCCTCTCTAGTCTTATTCCCAAGCAGTAGCAGTGGCAAGGATAAGGTTAAGGTGTTGCCTCCTGCGCCAGTCGGGCCTGTCACCGCAAAGCCCGTGCCCTCTGAGGCAGTATCCCACGGCAGTGAAGAGGGCAGGTGCTGCAGTCAGGCTGCCGGAGCCGTAGCCCAGCACCGCCACAACCACCTGTATAACCTGAGTCGAGTTTTGTGTGTTCCCTCTGCCTCAGGTGCCTCATCTGCAAAATGAGGAAAGCAACAGTTCCTGCTGTAGCCGGCAGGCTCTACGACTGCCCCGACCTGGTATTCATACCCTTCTGTAATCCTCTCCCGAGTGTGGGATTTTGTGACGTTTCTAGACAACGGACTGTGGGAGAAGCGATGAGACTGCGGCCCCAAGACTAGGTGGATCAGGGCTACAACTTCTCTTGCTTGCTTACTACTCTGAAAGAAGACCATTCCCAGGCTGTGCGAGGCCCAGATGGCAAGAAACTAACGTGTCCAGCCAACAGTCAGCTGGACGTAAAGCCTGCCAACCACCAAGTGAGTTAAGCTTGCAAGCAGACCCACCCTAGGTGACTCCTACCAGGAGACTGTGGCCCTGGCTCACACCCTGACTGTAGCCTGCGGAGACCCTGAGCCAGAGGCACCCAGCTAAGCTGTGCTCGCATTCCCAACCCACAGCAGGGATTGTGATACATGAACCAGAGGGGGACTGACACACGTTTATTGTTTTAAAAACCTGCTAAATTTTGGAGTAATCTGTTATGCAGGATTACGTAACTGATACACCTCCCCTCAGAGAGTTGTGAGGATTAAAAGAAATAATACATGGAAAGCTTTGAAAAATATGCTAGCCCACAAGTGGTCAAAACATGCTGGTCCTTTTTCTATTATAGAAATACGGAAGTCTGGCAATGTCGAAGTAATATAATCCTTCGGTCATTAGCTCTCAAGTGATGTAGGAAGACCTTCCCAAATCCAAGAAGTCATAACAGAATGGCAATCGGGAATAACAACAAACTACAAATATAGGTCAACCTGCAGAAAATTCAACACCACTGCTTATGTTGTACTGAGGAAATAATGACTGAAACAGTAGCAAAAGGTAGACATTAAGATCAATGGGATAATCATTAACTGAATCATTCTATAGCCCAGAACAAAAAAGGTTAACGATATATAACTAAATCCCAACACCTACAAATGTGGTATCAAAATCACGTAAGAATTCCAAAGGGTTAAAATATTCTTGCACCAAGCTCTTCCTTATAATTATCTTTGAAGTCGGATAAACCAACACCTTGAAGGGTAAAAATATAGCTTCTTACTTAGTAGTTATCTTACCCTCCAATACTTGGAGCACACAACCAAAAGTGACCTTTGTGTGAATGCACAAAAAGAAATGCTTTGGCAATTCTGACAATAAATCGGTTTGGATTCCTCCTCAAATATTGGCTCAGTATCCTGAAAAGAGAAAGATACGTAAAACGTTAGGAATGGTTTGGTTGTTGATTAAAATTATCATACAGCGATAAAAATAAAGAAAATGGAAGAAAGACATCACTTGATATATTCATCATTTTAGCCTCTCATGTGAGAACCAAGGTAATAAAAAGCAGCAAAACTACACTCCAAACACATCCGGGCGCAATGTCTTTGCTACAAAGCTACTCAAGAATGAAACGCTGAGAAGAATCAGAGTGTCAACATTGTGGCAATAACAGATGATAAAAGTTTGAGTCAATCCTCAATTCTCTATGTCCTTCTAGGTTAAAAAAAAAAAAAAAAAGATCAATTCCTCCAGGTCCTCCCCCAAATACAGTGTGTAAAAATTGACTAGCTGAAGAGATTAGCATCAATACTTAAAATACTGATCTGCCGTTCCTTATTGACAGAATTACAAGGAATTCAAGCCCAAAGAACAGAGAACTAAAATTGGCTTTATATACTTTTTGTGTTTGCTTTATTTTCTTCCCTCAAGTAAACTATCTTTTAACTTTAATAGAGGCAACTGAGGAAAATCCCAGCTCTTCTGTGTTTCTCTACTTTACATCCTCTACAGTATGTTTCTCTATTTCATATCCTTGACAGAGCAGATGTCTGCCATCAAAAGTGAAAAACAATACACTTACAGAGACAGCATACTAGGGGATGTTCTAATACTATGTCAATAAGGCTCTCGAAAAAGAATAGCTTTCTCCTGGCCCTTTGGGAAAAAAAGGGAGGGGGCCTATCATCGCTAAAACTGAAGCCTCTGTAAGAACAGAACATCTGTCTCACCTGCATGCCACTTATTTCAGAGGTAACAATCCACACCTTCAAGATGCCCGTCACTGAGAGTGCGACCACAGTGTCCTCTAAGTCGAGAGGGACCAAGAAGCCAAGGTTACAAACATAATACACTTTCTTTCTAAATAGTAACATGGTTTGCATTAATGAAATTAAGTAATAATTATTCTCAATTGGCATAAAAGCATAATTCTATATTTCATGAAATAACAAAAGCCAGATTTTGAAACATAATAGACCACAAATTTGAAATTCAAGGAAAAGTTGTTTGCAGCTACTTGAATGTTTTTATTTCTAATCAACCGATTTTTAATAATTTCAAATGTTCCTGATCACCATGATTACTTGATGATTTAACAAAGAATTTTTATTCTTCAAAATTCACAACTTTTAATTATTTATCATGGGTGAGCACACTCACTTTATTTCTTGAAGACACTCATTTCCCCAATGTCCCACCTACTTTGCCTGCCTTCTAGACATTTTATGGTACATTACACCCTCTATAGACTGTGATCAAGAGAAGACATGATCTAAAAAGGAAATGCAGAGGCTGCAGGTAAGGAAGCAGTCACAGTGCCGTGGTAACATACAAGAAACTCGGAGAGCAGAGACACTGGGAGCAGTCTCAGGCGGGCTCCAGAGTGAGGGAGATACATGTGGAAATCTCATTCTCTTCACTAGCCAACCGATGAACTGTGAATAACTTAACCTGTCTTAAATTCAACTTGCTTATCTGTAAGCAAATACAAATGAGTAACAATGGTACCTAGCTTAATGGGTTGCTATGAGAATCAAGACACAGCACAGGGGGGCGCCTGGGTGGCTCAGTGGTTGGGCAACTGCCTTCGGCTCAGGTCATGGTCCCGGAGTCCCGGGATCGAGTCCCACATCGGGCTCCCTGCTCGGCGGGAGTCTGCTTCTCCCTCTGACCCTCTCCCTTCTCATGCTCTCTCTCACTCTCTCTCTCAAATAAATAAAATCTTAAGAAAAAAACAAACAAAAAACAGGTATAGCACTCAGCATGTCAATCAAGATGGGTTATTACTATTATTAAAAAGAACCGTTTGCTGTCCTTAAATAAAACCCTTGTCGTATTACAGAGTTCTCCAGACAATGTAAGGCACTGGCACGCAGAGATTACAAGTCAGGAGCCTGTATGCAGACACTAACAACTGCTCACAAATCTGTCAATTTATAGTAAAAGTGGAACATACCAATATAGCTAAAATTCTCAAATATCCAAAGACTAGAATACGGTAAATGCAGATTAAAAATTACATATGCTTGCAAGATTATAAACTGATAACATTTAGAGTTGCATGCACAGCATAGAAGTTTTCATCAGTGACATTCTATCCTATTCTGATAAGAGTACATGTGTATCTCATATGGAAATACTGTAAAAATTCAAAATGTACAAACTGCTTATCAAAAATATAGTCCTTTTTTAAAGAAAACATTGACTATAACTAAGATTACAGGTGAACATGCTAATAATGAGTTCCCCGTTGCCTGGAAAATGAAGTGGAATCTCTTTTTCACTGCTATGCTCTTGAATAAAGCAGTAATTCTCTAATAGGCATTAAAAAGCCTCTATTTAAGAAGGTCCCAGATTAAAGAAGTCTGTTCAATTTTATTTCACTGAACATCTCCCAAATATATTTGACCACAGAACCCTCCTTTTTCACTAATACCTATTAACAAACTTCAGAATCAATACTCAGCAGATGAGCCCTTGGAAAGTGCTGCAAACCCATCCACTGTTTCCACAACCACTGCTGGACCTCAGACCTGCACCACTCTCGGTTGGGGTATTAAAATCATCTCCCATCTAAACCATTCTCAACAATGCCACCAAAGTGATGCTTAAAACCAAGTCTCAGGGCGCCTGGGTGGCTCAGTTGGTTGAGGGTCTGCCTTCGGCTCAGGTCATGATCCCAGGGTTCTGGGATGGAGCCCCTGCATCGGGCTCCCTGCTCAGCAGGGAGCCTGCTTCTCCCTCTCCCTCTACTCATACCGCGCCCCCCCACCGGCCATGGTCGCTCTCTCTCTCTCACAAATAAATAAAATCTTTAAAAGAATAAAATAAAACATAAGTCTCTTCAAGGTTTCTTACCAGAGACCATCCAACATCTATAGCAAGGGCCAGAAAGCCACAACTCATGGATCAAATCCAGCCCACCGGCAGTTTTTTATAAATAACGTTTTATTAGAACACAGACAGGCTCATTCACTTCCATACTATGTGCTTTTGTGCTACATTGGCAGAACGTAGTAGTTGAAACACAGATCACGTGGACTGCAAAACCTAGAATATTTAGTATGTGGTCCCTTATAGTACAAGTCTACCGACCCCTGATCTACAGGACGAAACTCAAATTCCCTAGCTAGCACACAAGGCCCTTCTTGATCTGCCCCCCACCAACTTAGCCAACCACAGATGCCCCCATTACTTCCCTCAAACTTCTTACCTATGTTTTATGCTTATGAAATATACCATATATGATACAGAACTCTACAGTTAAACTATCCATCATGTCAGGGTGCCAAAGTCCCTAAAGGGCACCACACACTGACCTTGTGTTCGGTGGGATCGGATAATACTCATGGAGCTAATCCAGTCTGGAGAGATCTTTGATACTAAGGAGTATAACACCTCAAGGCTGGTGGCATCCACAACGAGGATTTCAGGATAGTGGCCATGGCATAAAAGCCTTCCTTCTCTCTGATTTCCAACAGAAAACTGGTAAAACTAAAAGGAAAAAGAGTTTTAAATGTTCTCCTTTACTTCTGAGAACTTGATTCGCAAGCACTCATCAAGCTTATTATGGAACTCAATTTCTCCAGTAATATTTCCAGACAGGTACTATATGGTACCTATTATAGGTGTCTATGTATATATACACACATCCACCAAATTACATTAATATTTCAAAATATCTAACAAAAATTATTCTTTTCCTAACATCCTCCCTTTTGAATTATTTTGGAGAAGTCACAGTAATTCATTTTTAATCCTCCTATAGCATCTAAAACAGGATTGTTGAATGAATTCATAAAACACCTCAATAATACCAGCTTCACAAATCAAAGCAAAAGGAATCTTTCCACAAAGCAAAGCAAAAATATGAATTTTAGATGAATGGGAATAGGTGGGTATAGGCTTATAATTACTAGTTATGACCAAATAAAATTTAGAAGATGACTGCTGTTCAAATATGTTATAAGCAGCAAATTCTGATTAACCTAAGTGTGTTATTTCAGACTAAAGTATGAGACAACTATGTAAATCATCCTCATAATGCATATTTTTACTTTGTGGAAGAAAAAGAGAGGAAGAACCAACACAATCATGATCTACATGTTACTCATCCCAAGAATAACTCAAAAGGAAAAGATGGGTTTCCATCATCCAAAGAGCAGAGGAAGAATAACTATCAAAACAAGACTAACAACTTCTCAACTGACCTGTCTCCTGCTAGCTTAAAAAAAAAGTGACTCTCCAGGTGGAATGATTCTCCTAGAGGATTACTAGAAGGTGAAGACATCTAACAACCAGACTACTAGTTCCCAAAGGATTGGACCTTACACGAATCACGTGATGGCAAGCTAGACCGAGCACAAAGGGCAATGCTGTAACCACTCCACAACTGGGGAAATAACTAAGGAACCTTGGTCCAGTCTGCTCCCACACTCATCAGTCCTGTTCTAAGGCTCAACATTGCGTGTGAAGGAATACAATCTTCTCTCAACTATGGGGTACCCTGATAAGAAGGATTACAACTTCTTAAACATAAATACTGATCACCGAGCACATTAAGTAAGGGCAAGGTAGCACCCAAGAGGGGGGTCTAATAAAACACAGACAACCACACAGGGCATCTCTAGATCTTAGAAGGTTGATCCAAAAAACAGGACACACAACCTGGAGGTTCCAGGGACTGCCAGGCACTCTCATATGATAACGTGACCACAGACAACCCTGACCCATCTAAGGAGAAGAGGGTCGAGGAGGAGAAGATGTGTGCAGAGAAGCAAACTCTGTCAGTACCCACCCGACACCAGCCCAGAGAGACACGTGCACTGCAGTCAGTGAAGAACTCTCTCCTGGGGGCAGGGATATTTTACTAGCCTTGCCTGATAAATGCCTCCCACCTTTTGCTTTAAAGTTATGCTCCCAAATAATCTTCTGACCACTAAATTTAGCTCCCTAAACATTTTCATACTAGCAAAAAAAGTATCCTGAACGGAGAAACAATTTTTCCAAATATTAAAAAGGGATCTCCCCTGTGATAATTTAATAAGTTGGCATCTCCTTGTGATTTCAGTAAGTGCCAGTGTCACCAAGGTTTACCATTTCTGCTTATACAAACAACTTGCTCTTGGACCTGAGAGAATGAAGATCACACAGGAAACAACTGTCCCACACTAGTGAACCTGTCAAAGAGCATCTACTTAGAGACAGCTGCCAAGTTAAATGCAGGACCTATTACAGGATCTGAGAAAGAATGGGCACTAAAAATATATTGAATAAACAAAGAGAATTTTTCCTAAAATGTAAACCAAAAGTTTTTAAATCATGGAACTATAGAACAGTCAAAATGTTTATATCCAATGAGTTCAAGACACTAAATAAATTATCTATAAAGTCACTAATTATATTATCATTTATTATCCATTTTCTCTCTATAAACCTTGATGATTCATCATATGACAAAAAATAAATAACATATGCCCCATACACTCTAACAACACTGAAGAAGCAATTTTTAAAAGGCCTTTGTGAGGGTAAGAAACAGTAAAAAAAAAAAAAAAAAAAAAGACTTTATTACACAAACCACCATCTCACCCTGAAACATTTTCCATTGCTTTTCTAATTTGTGTTGGCACAAGTTTTCTTTCTCAATAAACGACTGTATTTGTTTGAGGGAGGCAGTATGATGTAACTGAAAGAATAGAAAGATGAACCTGATTTGGGATCCTGGCGCCAGGAATGACTCACTGTGAGACTGGGACAAGTCATTTAATCACTCTGGGTCTCAGCTTCCTTCTGTGTAAAATAGTATACTTCTATCTCATTTGTAATGATGTGGGGAGGACTAAATGAAACACCATAAAAGAAATGCCTATATAATATGTGCTCAGTAAAAGTTAGTTCTCTTCTCTTCCCTCTCCTGCCCCATTGAGAACATAAATCATATTTTCAATGGACTTGTGATTTTCCCAATATTCAACAGAGTAAATGATGCATAAACCGAAGCACAAAAAACTTGACAATTATGAAAGAATAAGAAAGAATACCAGGAATAGACGTCAGAAACTATAAATTCGTATGTAAATTCTTGTATAAGGCAGAAATATGAAATAGTCATTTCTTCAACAGTTAGAAAGTCAAAAAAATGTACCCAAGGACCAACTGCAAAGTAATAAACAGGACATGATCTGTAAAGTGGGTCAATTTTTGTCAAGCTTGAATGGAATCATAAAGGCTTTAGCATGAGAGAATTCATTATTTAGGATCTAGAGGAATGACCCAACTTGTAAAGGGGCTCTCACTTGGGTAATCAGGATGGCCAGAAAGAGTAGAAGTGGCAGTGGTAACTGGCTTAGCCTCCACCTTTCCCCATTAATCCCCTCCACTTAATACATCCCCCACTATACCATCTGATGAGGAATACTTTTACTATCCCAACTGAGTAACAGGACAAGAAGACTACATCTCCACCCATTTTTCATATAAAAATTTAGGCTCAATGTTTAAAAAACACTTAATTGTAACCTGTAATAAGTTGTGCTGACTTGAACCGTTACGGAAATAGATACTAACCTGTATACCTGTATGTGTGCAGGCTAATTTTGTAAACTCAATACATCTGCCATCATTCACGTCCCAGAGACACATCTCTCTATAAAACAAAAGTAATAGCTAACTTTAAATCTGATATTTAAAAGTACTGTCAAACTCTGTCACGGTTCTTTAAAATTAATCTTTCATTAAAACTGATATATTTCAGGGAAAAGTAGTGTATAATCATCGTTGCTGTCTGTGAAAAATTCTGGTCCTCATTCAGCATCCCAACCTCCCCTCCAACCTCCCCACCCCCACCTAGATCCACATTCTTTCTGAACACATGGTAGGACTGCACTTCCTGGCTCCCTCTCGGTTGGTAAAGTCTTGTGAGTAGTTCTGGCCACAAGTGATACAAGGGCCTCAAGAACTTTCTTTCTGGGGCACCTGGGTGGCTCAGATGGTTAAGCGTCTGCCTTCGGCTCAGGTCATGATCCCAGGGTCCTGGGATCGAGTCCCGCATCGGGCTCCCTGCTCCTTGGGAGCCTGCTTCTCCCGCTGCTTCTCTCTCTCTCTCTCTCTCCCTCTCTCTCTCTCCTCCTCTGCCTCTCATAAAAAAAAAAAAAAAAAAAAAAAAAAGAACTTTCTTTCTCCTCTGCCTCCATTCCAGACAGTGGCTACTTCTGTCAGTGGCTGCTCCTTTCACCCTCAACCTCAAAGTCAGGACGATAGTGAAGCAGAGCCCCAAATGATATACCAGGGTCAAGTGACAAAAACAAGAAATAAACTTTTAATTTAAACCACCGGGATTTTCCATTAATTATCAGCATAGCTAGAAAATTTAGCACAACACAAAACAAAAATTAAAACCAACTTAATTCCAAACCTTTGCGAATGAAATTTAATATTCCAATTTTGATTCAGTATTTATTGCATATGTTTTATCAAGTGCATAAAAAAGCTTCCATCTCAAACTAAAGATATGGCATTCCAAATTAGAAATATCAATATGTCTTTATCTTTTGAAGAAATAAGCTTTATTTAACAGAACACAGCATTAATAAAATGCAGTGATGCTAATATTCTCAGGGCTTTCTTCAAGATACCCTTTCTTATATCTCACATGGTATGAAACAATTTTTCAAAGGATGTTCAATCTTATTTGCATGCTAATATGAATTATCCTTTAATTGACCAAGAGGGACTGTATTTTTTACCTGATGCTGCCTCTTCTTGTTACAGTTACATAAGGTTCTTTTCAAGTTCATAAATTATGAGGGGTTAATGGGAGGAAACAACTTCTTAAATAATTCTCTTCTAGGTCGCCAATTCCCTTCAAAAACATATTATCTATATAGTTTTCTAAGCAGCAGAAAAGTTTAAAAACTCCTCACTCTGAACCCTATGACTATAGCTAATGATTTCTCTCTCTCTCTAAAAACAAGTTATATTCTAAGACTCAGGAATATATAATTACATTAGTGTATTAACATATATGAATACAACTATATGACCTTTGCATGGCTTCATCTTCTGAACTTATGCTAGCCTAGTCATCATTCAGTTGTCTGCCACCTCAATAAAAATACCATGGGGATTAGTGATCAAACTTTAACTTATAAGGTATTCTGAGTTTCTCAAAAGCAAGGCAAAAACATAATCATAAATTATGATAAAAGTATCACAAAAATCATTAATAAAGATAAAATTCACATTTATAAAACCATATTCCAAATATCTTTAAGTTCAAACAACTGAACCATTTATTTAAAAGATATTTCAAAAAGAAAAAAAAAACTCCTTACTCACTCATACACTGGTACTATTTGCAATAAAGACTTAGGAAAAAAGTGAATAAGAAAATACTTGCCCACTTTCAGATGCACTCACAATATACTGTTTGTCACTAGAAGCACAAGCTTTAGACAAACAGGTGATTGAGGCTGTGTGACCAAACAACAGTGCTCGAGGATTAACCTAGAAATACACAAATACGTTGATATAAGTACCAAATTTTTAAAAATTAATTTTTAGGAATCCTGTTAAATATTCAATATAAATATACAGATACAGATTTGAGAAGAATTGAGAGTAACACAACAGTGACCCCCCCCCACCCACTTAAGGCTCATAATCACCCCACCAGGTAGTTCTTAAGTCAAAACTGGAACACCAACAGATAACACTGTTTGCCCAACACACACACAGAGCGACAGAGCTAGAGGTCAAACGAGGGCAGTCTTAAGCACTAAGCCACAGTATACTGAAGAATCAGATGAAGAATGTGAGTTAGTAATAAAATAATTTAACCCCACTCATTTCTTAAATAATATGCTCAGTGACCTGAAAACATATTTAGAGTCTCTAGATTAACACACTCAAAACTCAATAAAATAGAGGACAGGCACCCTCCCAAATGCTGATAGCAACATTAACTATCAGGAACGAAGAATGACCTTCACAGACCAATGATTTAGTGACACAGTGCCTTACAGAAAGAAAGGCTTAACACCCACTATTCTAAAATAGCCTGGCTATCAGGGGGCACCTGGGTGGCTCAGTTGTTGGGCGTCTGCCTTCGGCTCAGGTCATGGTCCCAGGGTCCTGGGATCGAGCCCCACATGGGGCTCCCTGCTCCGCGGGAAGCCTGCTTCTCCCTCTCCCACTCCCCCTGCTTGTGTTCCCTCTCTAGCTGTGTCTCTTTCTGTCAAATAAATAAATAAAATCTTTAAAAAAATAAATATATAAATAAAATAGTCTGGCAACCAGCCCCCAAATTTATCTACTTTGTACCAAATGGCATCTTATTACTTCAGGTTACTTCAGGGCCTTAGGTTATTTCAGGATATATTTTTCAATTAAATATTTAATACATACAAATAACATTTATAATATACATATAAGATATAAAGAATACACTGAGTAACCACATACTCAATACCCAGTTAAAAGAACAGAATATAGGGACTCCTGGGTGGCTCAGTCAGTTAAGCATCTGCCTTTGGCTCAGGTCATGATCCCAGGGTCCTGGGATCGAGCCCCATGTCGGGCTCCCTGCTCAGCGGGGAGTCTGCTTCTCCCTCTCCCTCTGCTGTTCCCCCTGGTCGTGCTCTTTCTCTCATTCTCTCCCCTCTCTCTCAAATAAATAAATAAAATCTTAAAAAAAAAAAAAACAGAATATAACAAAGTCCCTTTGTACCCGTCCTGGTGTCCATTTTGCAAACAATTTATCCCAATTTATTAGTAAAGCTAAATTGTTCAAAATTAAATATTCCACGGGAAGAGTACCGATATTGTTCTATAGTTCTGGTATGTAACAACTGAAGAGATTTTCCAAATAAAATTCTAGTCATCTTTTATATAATTACAATTAAGAGGGGTGCCTGGGTGGCTCAGTCGTTAACACATCTGCCTTCGGCTCAGGTCATGATCCCAGGGTTCTGGAATCGAGCCCCATATCAGGCTCCCTGCTCAGCGGAAAGCCTGCTTCTCCCTCTCCCACTCCCCCTGCTTGTGTTTCCCCTCTCGCTGTCTCTCTGTGTCAAATAAATAAATAAAAATCCTTAAAAAAAATAATTACAATTAAGAGAAAATTTCTTTTTTTGCTTAGTTATAATATGCATTTTTTTCTTCAAAGGCAAAATTTCTATTTTAATTATTTAAGAATCAACCATTGTTTATAGTTAGAATGGGCCTAGAAAGTTTTCCCATACTGCCGACATTTTCTCATACATCCAACCCCATCTCCATATAGAGATTCAGTAGTCTTCCACTAAAAATTATGCTATTGGTCAATTCTTTAATTTCTCCCAAGAAAATCAACTTTACCAATAGTTTTATTTCAAAGATACATGGCTTTGTCGGAAAATTCCACTTTCAGCCATTACAAGTAACTAGAACTAGACTTTACTCCCACCATAATCTAAAAAATAAAAATTTTTGAATGAAGTATAAACTTCACATGATCACCTTAATAGAGGCAATAAACCTTTTGACAAAATTCAATATCCTTTCATAATTAAAAACTCTCATCAAAATGAATATAGAAGGAATGTACCTCAACTTTATAAAGGCTATAAATGACAACTCACAGCTAACATCATACTCGACAGTGAAAAACTAAAAGCCTTTCCTCTAAGATCAGGAACAAGACAAGAATACTCACTTTTGCTACTGCTACTCAACATAGTACTGAAAGTCTAAGCCAGAGCAATTAGGCAAGAAAAATAAATAAAAGGCATGCAAATCAGAAAGAAAGAAGTAAAATTTTCTGTTTGCAGATGACATGATCCTATATATCCTAGAGACTCTACCAAAAGACTGCTAGAACTAATCAACAAATTGGGTAAAGCTGCAGGATACAAAATAAACATACAAAAATCAGTCGCACTTCTATACACTAACAACAAAATAGCTAAAGGAGAAATTAAGAAAGTAATCATATTTACAATAGAATCAAAAGGAATAAAATACGGTTGACCCTTGAACAAGGAGAAATCTAGAAAAATCTAGAAAAAGACTACTGGAACCAAAAGAGTAACACAGTCACAGTACACAAGTCAAAATACCAAAAAGCAATGGTATTTCTAAATACTGACAATGAACATTTGTAAAATAAAACTAGAATATATGGCTCTGCCACCCACTGTCAGAGGAAAGCAAAACAAACAAACAAACAAAAAACCATGTAAATGAAACTATATCTCTGACTCTATCTTCATTAAGTAAAAAGTTAGCTAAAAATAGAAAAGTTTAATATTTTCATAAATCAACGTTTCTTTAATGAACAGAAATGTATTCAATTCATTAAATAGTTCTCTACAGTTTAAAGAAAAAAAAGATGGCTTTAAGAAATTGCTCTGAATGACCACATATATCAGAGACAATAACCCAGCCAACTTTTTTCTTTTCCCCTGGATAAACAGTCCAATTCCTCAATATCTTTCAAAAGATCTATTTCTCTCCTAGCTCCACTCCCATCCCCCAACACTTCTCACTCCCCCGTCACTTTTAGCCCTCTTACTTGAACTTAAATAAACATAACACTCTAGTAAAATCTATGTGACAAAATTAGTGAAAGAATTGTTTCTAAGCTCTCATAAGTGAGTCTCATTGCTTGTAATCATTCCAGTAAAATGTGGTGTGCTATTTTTTCTCTTCACAACTACACTGATGATTCATATTTAGGTCGCTATCAATCCTGAAGGCATATACATTTTATGATACTTCCCCGCTACTTTTCAAAGTGTATACCTAGCCTTTACATGTCATTCAATGTGTACATTTTTCCAGTTCTAGCTGTACCATGTCTAGGTGTATACCTAAGAGTAACACACATATGTCCACACAAAAACTCATACACAAATATGCAGAGCAGCATTATTCCGTACGGCCAAAGTGCACACACAACCCAAATGCCCATTAACTGATGTATTAAATTTAGTATATTCATACAATGGACTATTATTTGGCCATTTTAAAAAAAATGAAGTATTGATATATGCTACAATACAAATGAACTTTGAAAATACTATGGTAAGTGAAAAAAGCCAGTCACAAAAAACCCACATATCAGTCCATGCACATGAAATGCCCAGAACAGGCAAACCTATAGAGGAGTTATATCTGGGATATGGGATATTTATCATATCAAATTAACATCCTTACATATATTGCACATTATAAAGAGATAGAAAACAGAGTAGTGGTTGCCTTGGGAGGAAATGGGGATATTGGGAATGACAGCTAAAGAGTACAGGGTGTTTGGGCGCCTGGGTGGCTCAGTTGGTTAAGCAACTGCCTTCGGCTCGGGCCATGATCCTGGAGTCCCGGGATCGAGTCCTGCATCGGGCTCCCTGCTCGGCAGGGAGTCTGCTTCTCCCTCTGACCCTCTTCCCTCTCGTGCTCTCTGTCTCTCATTCTCTCCCTCTCAAATAAACAAATAAAATCTTTAAAAAAAAAAAAAAGAGTACAGGGTGTTTCTTAGGTAATGAAAATGTTATAAAATTGACTGTGGTAATGTACACTTTTTATTTTTTAAATTCAATTTATTTAAACTAAAAACAAAAACAGTTCACCCATTTCTCCCATCCCCACCCCTGGCAACCACCAATCTGCTCACAATGAGCTTCATTTTAAAAATATGTATTTTTTAGATTCCACATATAAGAGAGATCATACAGTGTTTGTCTTTCTCTGACTTATTTCACTTAGCATGATGCCCTTTGAGGTCCATCCATGTCCCAAATGGCATGATTTCATTCTTTTTTATTGTTGAATAATATTCCATTGTGTATGTGTCTGTGTGTGTGTGTATATATATATATATATATATATACACACACACACATATATATATAACACAATTTCTTTAAATGAGTGAATTGTATAGTATGCAAATTGATCTCAATAAGGCTGTAACAAAAACAAAAAAAATTACTTAAAAAATCAACTTGCTTGCCCTATATTCCATGCCAGCTACCACCCCATTTTCTCCATTACACTTTACAGAAAAATCCCTGGGGAAAATTGCCAGAGAGGGAGATTTAAAAATGGGGGGGAAAAGGAGAATAAATCCTGAGGTGTTATACTAGAATTGGAGGTATTAGTGTGATGTGTGTGTGTGTGTGTGTGTGTGTGTGTGTGTGTGTGTTCCCAACTCCTATTTCCCTAGTCTGTCCACTGTGAAGGCCTAGGAGCACAACACACTGAGCACTCCACAGTAGGAAAGAATGGCCATAAATATAATCAAATTTATGCCTTATAAAAAAGGTTTTGCTCTCTTCAAGACATTCACCTTAGAAGGTATAAATGTTCGAAACTATTTTTTAATACCTTTTTCAAAACTCGCTTCAGTATGGATAAACATCTTTTGAAAAATCTTAAATGTAACATATTAAGCCACTTAGGGCAGATACAACAACTGCAAATAGCCAATAACCAGTAGAAGTCAATTCTGATGTATAATACAAATTATCAACCTGCATAATAGCAATTTGAGTCAAAACATATTTCACAGAAAATATGAGGCCAAGGATTATTCTGGGACTATTGTTTTCTATTTAGAAACTCCTTGTGTCTAAAAAATACAATAGGCATTTCAAATACTCACTTCTAATTCTACTGAAAGATCCCAGAGACATATTTGTCCATCATGGCATCCAGTTACAATTGTGGTCCCATCGTCTGTTAAAAGTACTGCTGAGATGCAATGTGTTGGTGCTTTGCGACCCCAAAGAACAATGGGTAGGACAAGGCTGTTTCCCGCCATTGTGCTTTCAAACCTGGAAATGTTGTAAGAATAATGTCAAATATTACAATATTTCCTTCTAAAACATACATTTGTATTATGAATCCAAGTTGAACTTCCTGAATGCCAAAAATGTTCCCAAATATTATATATATGACACACATATATGAAAATACATAAAACCTTATTTTATATATATAAAATCTAATTAAAATCTTAGTTAATTCTCACAGTAAATCATGCAGCAAGTACTATGGTCATGCCTCTTTCACAGATAAAGACATTGAGTCAGAAAGAGTCACAAGGTGAAAAGCAAAGTAATGGAGCCCAAATCAAAACCCACGCTGCCTGACTTCAGAACCTAAGATCTTATTAACCAATGACAAGTAAGGTCTATAAATTTGTTAGGTTTCCAAACCAGTAATAGATGCCAATGTCCAAGAAAAATTCACTGTTGTTTCACAGTGTGCTAAACATTAAAAAGAGTATGTTCAGTGGGAAACTCATTCAACTACATTTACTACAAACCTATTATGTCTCAAGATCATGAATGTCTTTTATTGTAAATTCTGAAACTTGAGGGAAAAGGATTTTTCTTTAAGTGTATATGGGAGTACAGGAGAGCACAAATACAAGGAACTATTCCTTCGTATGACAAAAATCAAGATCTAGTCAGTGAAACAACCAGATTTAAGTGTTATAAACCATGTGGCTAAAAACTAAATACTAGTTCAGAGAAGTTAGAGAGAAATGAAGAATGGAATAATCAAAGAGGGCTCCACAGAAGACAGAAGACTGCCAGATCTTACAAGACACTAGAGGGTCACCTATAGGCTTGACAAATGGTCAATCAGAAATGGTCACTGTAGTGATTTTTCCTGCCCCAAATTTTTAAGTGACAACAAATGATATACGTATAACTACAGACTCTTTAGAATGCTAAGACTGCCCCATAAAATTTTCAGAAACACTTAAGGAATAATCATTTTCTCTGAAGAAAACTAGTTTGATAGCCATGGTCTTATTGCTAGCTGGTCCCAGCAAGACTCTTCTTTAAACCACTACTTACACTTTAAAAAGAATAAAAACTAAAACTAAAATCGCTTTTAAAGAATAGTCACTGGATGGGGTGCCTGGATGGCTCAGGCAGGTAAGCGTCTCACTCTTGATTTCAGCTCAGGTCATGATCTCAGGGCCCCTGGTATTAAGCCCTGCATTGGGCTCTGCTGCGGAGCCTGCTTAAGATTCTCTCTCTCCCCATCCCTCTGCCCATTTCCTCCCTCATGCACTTAATACTCTTGCTCTCTCTCAAAAAAAAAAAAGAAAAGAAAAGAAAAAGAAAAAAAGGTCACTGGAAATAAAATAAGGGAAGCAAAAAATCTAAAAATCTATATTACTTCTTTTATTTTTTTATTAGAATATATGACTTTCATCAGTTTGTCTCCCCCAAAACTTCATCTTTTTGCTACTAGTAAAAGGTATTGGAAAAAATTCCAAGTTCACTGCCTATTAATAAAGCCTTATATATATCATGTTCACCATTTCATATGCTACCACAACACAATTATTTCCATTTTTTTGCATATTTCTATTTGATATTAGAAAAAGAAACAAAGCACTGAACCAATTTTAATAAATCTGGTACAGCATGTTCCTGGCTGAAAAACAAACCCAACAATGACTTTCTCAAAAAGGGAATCTGGAAGGAGTTCATTTTTCCATGGTGACAACATTCAGTATTAAATTATATCACCCAAAGATTTCTCCCAATTAAATAAGCTCACAGCATTGAAGACAATATGGTGAAATCTGAAAAGAACACCATTTCTCTAGATATTTGAGGACTCATATTCAATGCATACTGTTTTGCTTAAAGAAAATACAAATATAGAGATTCAGGAATATGTGTGTGTGCTTTCAGGAGATGGGCCTGCTCTGATGCAACAGGAAAGAACATTTTGATATTCAAGTGACAGGGCAACTCATTTCATAGCCCTTAAAACAAGTGAAAATAATCATCCATAACATGGCAAAGGTATATAATACATCATTAGAAAACACATCAATCTCTAACTCAACTTCTCCAGAAGCTATAATAATTACAAAGATTTAGAAAAAACATATCCCCCACATCCTCCCAAAAATCAAGAACAGACAGTCAACCAGAATCTGAGAGGAGTTCTTATTACGGGCAATAGAGGATTTTCATAAAGAACTGCATCAGTTTCCTAGGATTGCCATGACCACAAACTGAATAGCTTAAACAACAGAATGTATTGTCTCACAATTCTTGAGGATAAAAATCTGAAATCAGATGTAGGTAGGGTTGGCTGTGAAGGGAAGGATCTACTCCAGGCCCCTCTCCTTGCCTGTAGAAGGCCATCTTTATGCTCAGATGGCATTCTCCCTTTGTGTACATCTGTCTCCAAATTTCCCCTTTTTATTTATTTATTTTTTAAGATTTTATTTATTTATTTTCCAGAGAGAGACACAGCGAGAGAGGGAACACAAGCAGGGGGAGTGGGAGAGGGAGAAGCAGGCTTCCCGCGGAGCAGGGAGCCTGATGCAGGGCTCGATCCCAGGACCCGGGATCATGATCTGAGCTGAAAACAGACACTTAATGACTGAGCCACCCTGGTGCCCCAAATTTCCCCTTTTTAATAAAGACATCAGTCATACTGGATTAGGACCCACCCTGATGACCTTATTTTAACTTAACTCCATAAAAACCCTACCTATGTCCAAATGAGGTCACATTCTGAGGTACTGGAAGTTAGAATTTCAACATATGAATTTTAGGGGAACACAATTCAACCCATAACAGGGATATATCCTTTTAAAAGAACATCTGGGACATCTGGGTGGCTCAGTTGGTTAAGCATCTGCCTTCAGCTCAGGTCATGATCCTGGGACCCTGGGATGGAGCCCCACATCGGGCTCCCAGCTCAGCAGAGAGTTTGCTTCTCCCTCTCCCTCTGCCTGCCCCCAGGTTCGCACGCGCGATATAATAAAATCTTTAAGAAAAATAAAAGAACATAACCTAAAATTAATTAATTATCCAAAAAGCAATTCTCCCTCAGGAAATAAAGGTAAAGAACTTCACTATATCTTTTCCAGGAGATACTACATCAGCTAGTTAACTGCTTATCTGAGGAATAAATAAGAAGTTCTGTCTAACAAAGGTAAGGAGTTACCATCTTATGTATTATGTTGGGGGTGGGGGCGGCAGGAACCAGATTCCAAAATTCACTGCTATATTTCAAAGGAAATTAAACAGTAAAAACTAACCTATCCTAACCCCTATATATACCCTTGTCAAAGGTCCTTAAATTATGCCCAGTGCTATTTCTTGGCTGGTATACTCAAAGATCTAAATAGAAAGTACCTGGTTTTTTGTTTTGTTTTGTTTAGATTTTATTTATTTATTCGACAGACAGAGAGCGAGAGAGCAAAAGCACTAGGAGCGGCAGTGGGAGAAGTGGGCTCCCTGCTCGCAGGGCTCGATCCCAGGACACTGAGATCATGTCTGGAGCCGAAGGCAGACACTTAACTGAACCACTCAGGCACCCCTAGAAAGTACCTGTGAAATGAAATATTTAAAATGTAAATAATCATAAAGAATACCTGAAATGAAATATGAAACTGTAGTAGGAATCACAATCAGTAGCTGCTATTATTGATGTCTTGCTGTTGGGATTAGGGTGGTTCCAATCAAATACAGAATAAACAGAAACAGAAACAACTTCTAAATAAATAATAATTAATGAAAAGGGCTTGGTGACCAACCGGAAGATGGTATTCAAAAAAACCAGGTGAATACAGTTTCAGATCATGGCAGGGGCAGTGGGGGCAGGGGGGAAGTCTTATTTATAGGACTCATGTGGAGAAGTAGATTTGAGCTCATGGGTCTCAGAACACATTTGATATTAAAACCTCCTAGATACGAGGGTATTAAATCAAAGTTGGGGCAGACTATGGAGAAATGGGTTTGGGGGAATGTTCAAAAGTTGGAGGCAGAGAAGACCGTCAAAGACATTTTGACACTGGCTCTGCTATCTCTTGCCAGTCATGGAGACATCCTTAATGATGCCGGGTTAGTTCAAAACTAAGAGAGCTCAGGCGCTTTACAACACTTCCTTAACCCTACACTAGACTTTTGTTATGTAGGAAAAATAAACTTCTACTAGTTTAAGGCCACAATTTTTAAGTTTTGTTACAAATAAATATTATGAACTTCCTCACTGCACACTCAGATACACTATACCCCCGAGTACGTAAGAATAATATCCATGGCAGATATGATGTGGTAAGAAGAATGACAAACAATTACATAAAGGAAAAATGTTAAGACCCCTACAAAATAAGGGGTGGCTTTGTTGGAGGTGAGAAGAGGATAAGGAAACAAATACAACCATCATCCTGTGGCCAAGACCCTTCACACACCAGCAGAAGATAATTAAAATTCATCATTAGCTGACCAACATGTGAAAGACGAACTTACATGGTTTAGATAGGTCACTGTACAATGTATGTATATTTCAATTTTATACAAGTCCAATATATAAAAGCTAGACTTGCTGAATTTATAAGAGAATTCAAGAAATTTCCATACCAAAAGAACACATCAATATTTCCTTTCAGCACTGAAGTGTGCTAGTTCTTACTTTCAAGATTCCTTTGGATAGTCTAGGTCCTCTTAACTTCCACACAAATTGAAAAATCAGCTTGTAAATGTCTGCAGAAAAGCCTGACGAGATTATGCCTAGAACTGCATCCAATTCCTGTATCAATTTGGGGAGCACTGACTCCTCTAGTTTCAGTAAATATTACTAAGGCAAAAGGATATTCTAAAAGCAATCTTACTTGGGCACCTAGGTGGCTTAATCGGTTAAGTGTCTGCCTTTGGCTCAGGTCATGATCCCAGGGTCCTGGGATAGAGCCCCAAGTTGGGCCCCCTGCTCAGTGGGGAGTCTGCTTTCCCCCCTCTCCCCCTCACCCTCACTCGTGCTCTCTTGCTCTCTCTCTCAAATAAATAAAATCTTTTAAAAAATAAAGGTAATCTCACTTCTTAAAGGGACATAAGGTCAAAGTAGCACATGTAGCTTCCTAATGAGATTTCACCACTCTTACTTCTCAATATAAATGAACATAACCTGGTCCAACACGGTTAACCAAATGAGAAAATCAAAGAGAAATCAAATAATTTTGTGGCTCTCTCCTGAAAAGTTCTGAATTCTTCCTATCACTTCTTTGAGAGCGCAACACTCTTCTTCTAGAAAACAAAAAGTTTAATAGAGAACAATGGTTACTAGACGGAGGTGGATGGGGGGATGGGTGAAATAGGTGATGGGAACTAAGGAGTGCACTTGTGATGAGCGCCAGGTAGTGTACGCAAGTGATGAATCACTATATCGTACACCTGAGACTAGTATTACACTGTATGTTGGCTGGAATTTAAAACTTACAAAAATAAAATGAATTACATGAAAGAAAAAAAGTTTATTTTCTCCTTAAAAATATTAACATATCTACTCACCAGTGACAAGGAAGAAACACTGTGAGGTGTGTGTACTATACACATATATATAAAAATAAAATTAATGCCATATGTGCTAAACTGCATATGTACCTAATGTATAAACACTTTTAATTTTGAAAAGCTTTTTTTAGGGTATAGTAACATGTTCTCCGTTGAAACAAGTTATTCTTGGAACATAGATAATATTAATCTTTCTTAAGAGCTTACAATTCCCTTTAGCATACACAATAAACACATTCTATTCATGACAATTTGAGAGACTATAAGATTCTAAGTTGAATTTCTGAATCAAAGAAAAGATGTATTATTGTTAGTACTTATTTTGACCTAGATATAGTTCAATGAGTATTAATTCCTTAAAACCTAGAAATCTGGTTATAGTATAATAATTAACAGGAATTTCTTGGAACAACTACTGAAGAAACTATCATTATAAAGAAACGATCTTGGGGCACCTGGGTGGCTCAGCTAGCGGAGCATCTGACTCTTGGTTTCAGCTCAGGTCGTGATCTCATGGGCTGTGTGATCCAGCTCCGCATCAGGCTCCCCACTCAGTGGGAAGTCTGCTTGAAGATTCTCTCTGCCCCTCTCCTTGATCTCATGCATGCATGCACACGCTCTCTCTCTCTCTCTCAAATATATAAATCTTTAGAAAAAAATAAAATAAACATCTATAAGATGCTCTTTATAATTCAGTCACTGGTATTTATTTACTTATTTATTTTTTTAAAAGATTTTATTTAACAGAGAGAGACACAGCGAGAGAGGGAACACAAGCAGGGGGAGTGGGAGAGGGAGAAGCAGGCTTCCCACTGAGCAGAGAGCCCGATGCGGGGGCTCGATCCCAGGACCCCGGGATCATGACCCAAGCCCAAGGCAGACGCTTAATGACTGAGCCACCCAGGCGCCCCAGTCACTGGTATTTATTTAATAAACTGGGCCATTTTAGAGACTAATTCATTTACCTTAAACTAAGACAGACAGCCTTTCCTTCCATGGTACTTTTTGTTTATAACCAAACCAATGGATGTCCTGTGAATTACCTAAAATTTCACATAATCCTCAATCACTATGCCACAGACCTTTGTGCTTTCAACATATTTTTTTTCTCTCATGCTTTTTGGTGTAATAAAGTCTTCTAGATCTATTTGACCCTATGCAACATGTGAATATATAGCTTAGATAAAAGAAGACAGAAGAAAGAAAGAAAGAAATCAAACAAAGGAACAGAATGAGGAATCTTTAGTTCATTACATGAGCATTATATGTGTGAACATTCTTAATACAAGGAAATATATATATATATATAGGAAAAAAATGATAATCTCAGTCCATCAAAAATATAAATGCTTCAAAACATTTTTTTCTAATGTCTTAAAAATCTAATAGAAGTGAAATTTTAGAAAAGCCACCAAAAGCACTAATGAAATAACATGAAATAAAGGATACCTTGGCTTATGATAACAGACTATCACAGTCAAATACCTCAAAGAAGAATTAACCAAGACTACCACTTGGTAACAAAGTCTAAGTGGCTGATTAAAACAAAAAATGGGCAAATTAGCCAGGAGTTAAGAGGAATATAAACACAGAGTACGCAGTTTTCCAACCATCATCATTCAACTGCTCTATTAATTAGCTAATAATCCATTCCTTGTTTACATTATCATCTAGTGTATGAAGGGATTTAAATATGTTCCAAAAAAGCTTTATATTAAAAGGGAATGAAACAAGTCCTGGAACAGGATTGAGGGTTTTTTTTTTTTAATTATTTATTTATTTGAGAGAGTGAGTGAGAGAGAAACAGACAGAGAAGGAGCCGGGGGCGGGGAGGGCAAGGGAGAAGCAGACTCCCCACTGAGCAGGGAGCCAGAGGTGGGGCTCGATCGTGGGACTCCAGGATCATAACCTGAGCTGAAGGCAGACGCTTAACCGACTGAGCCACCCAGGCGCCCCCAGGATTGAGATTTTAAAAATTCCTATTTTCATGGAAAAGGCCCAAAGCAAAAGTGATTGAACAAATTATTAATCTGATGTAGTATTAACTTTAATAAACTCTGAAGAAAATTATCTTACTAACTCCCCAAAATATTGTGTACAATATATTCATATTTTGCTACTAATATATCAAGGAAAAATACTAGCTTTCAAATTATAAATAGATATGGTCTAAGACCAGATGCTTCTAGAAGCAGAAGAATACTAGGAACATTCAATTTTCATTCATGTTCGTATAAAAATCTGGCTTAAAATTAAATTTAGAGATTGGCTATTAAATAAAAATTTTTAACTGATCAAGCTTCACAGTCAAATATCAGGAGTTCTAGATGCTACTTCTCATTTTGCCACTAATCATGCAGTCTTTGATCATATTTCCAAGGCTTAGTTTTCTCCCCAAGAGTTATTTATAAAATTAATTTTGAATCATTTTGAAGTAAAAAAAAATCAAATCATGAAGAGCAGGGATCTTAATGTTTACCTCTAAGTCATCTCTTTTAGTTGCTTTATTTTTTTATTTTTAAAGATTTTATTAATTTATTTGAGAGAGAGAATGAGAGAGAGAGCATGAGAGGGGGGAGGGTCAGAGGGAGAACAGACTCCCTGCTGAGCAGGGAGCCCGATGTGGGACTTGATCCTGGGACTCCAGGATCATGACCTGAGCCGAAGGCAGTCGCTTAACCAACTGAGCCACCCAGGTGCCCTCTTTTGGTTGCTTTAATTTCATGTATTTCTCTATTTCACTGACTCTCCTCTATTTCCCAGTTCTGTATAGAAATATAATTGTACTTCAGTCAACAACAACAATAAAAATAATCATAATTGAAAGAACACTGAACTTACAATCAGAACTGTATTCAAATCCTGGCTCTTCTGTGGGATCTTGAAAAAGTTACCCCTCTGGGTTTCAGCTTCCCCATCTGTAAAAGATGGACAATAATACCCTCTTTTAAGAAAGCTGTCCTAATGATCAAGAGAAAGCATACATGCAATGCAACTAGTGAAATAGCTAGCACATGGCAGATGCTCAGTAAATATTAATTTTTTAAAAACACAGATTTTGCTACTTCTTCACATTATGCTTCCACATCCACTGGTTTCTTCCAGCACTGCCATTTCATATTTAATAAAGTTGGATTTTTAATAAGGTTATGATCTTTCAATGACTTTCTGCTATAAAATAAAAGAACTACTGTATATGCTTGTCAGACACAATTCTATTATCTGCAAATATGACGATTCAGTTCTGCATGACTTTATTAGAAGTAATGCTACAAACTCCTACGTGATACTAAAACAGCTTTCAAATTAGGTCCTGTCTCATAATGACAATAATCAGTATACATTTTAGAGCAGCATTTCCCAAGTTTTCATTTCATGCCTATAGATAAAATGGACACAATTCAACTATCCAATGGGGCTTACACATATGCAAGCAAACAATTACCACAGAGTGTGATACAGGAGAAATCTCAAGACCTATGGAGACAAAAAGATCGATATCCTAACCTACACTTTAATGGATCCAGGAAGGATTCTTGGAAGAAATAATGGTGAGAATGAGTAGGAATTAACCCAGGAAGAAGCTGAGGGAATCACATATTCTAAATCCCACAGGTAAGAGAGCTCAATTCTTTCTCGACAGTGAAAATAGTAAGAGTTGGCATTCAGAGCACAAAGGCCAAATGATGAGACAAGAAACAACAGGTCGATATGCACCAAATCATAAAGGACTTGATAAGCCATCTGGAGGAATTTGGGGTTTAACCTGACAGCAATAGGAAACAGGTCAAGTGTTTTCAATCTGAATTTGCTTTTCAGAAAGATCAGTCTAGCTGCAATACAATGGATAGGGGTAAAACTCTGGGTTTGAAGACCAGTGGGGCTACTGCAGTACTGCTGGTGAGAAATGATGGTGAAATTTATCACAAACTCTCATTACTTATTTCTGCACTTTTTTGTTTAATGAACAAATGACTACTACTCTGCCCTGGTACTCTTTATGCTCGTGTTCCCTAAGATCAAGAACCACATCTGTGTATTCACCACATAATACTTAGCATAATGTCTGCCATATAGGATGTCTTTAATAAATACATGATGCAAGGTAGTAGTGGCGAGAACAGCAATAATAAGATGAATATGAGAGCTCTTTTAGAGATACAATAGATAGGACCTGGTGTTCAGCACACCAAGTTGATAAAGATGCAACATGGATTTTGATTATTAGGTTTTACACAAAGGCACTATGCGGACAAGAGAAAAGAAAAAGCACTTTGAAATATCAAAAGTCCTCTACATAAAGGATAGGCACTATTATTATGATACAGATGCCCAGTGAAGTCATCAATAAATTCAGATTCTAATACATGAGACAAATTATTCTACACTTAACCAGAATTTACTAACTATAGGTCTTGAGAAGGGAGAAGATATTACAAGGTTTCACATTAGTCTTAAGCAGGATCAGACTAAAGAGACTTAGTGGTCCCATAAGATCTCTAAATAGGGAAGCGACATGCTAAAACTCGGTGACATAGTATAAAGTTCAGATTAACACAGAGAAAACACTGCAGACAGGGAAACAGATATGATGCTACTACAACTAGCCTGGGTGCACAAAGATAAGAAGCTTAGCTAAAATTATGAGTTTTGAAAGAAAAAAAAATACAAGACAATTACGAAAAACAGTAAATCATGGGGTTTGATGCAATGTGTAAGGCTAGAGGCAAGACAAAGACATGTGACTGTTACTTTCCAAGCAGAGTGAGATGGAAAGAGGGAAGAAGCAAGCGTGAGGGGAAGAAGGGGAGTGATAACAGGCAAAAGGGGAACAGACACATCATTTGGTCTCAGAGAAATTAGAACTCAGAAAACATTTTCATTAAATGGCAGCAGAGAGGGGCGCCTGGGTGGCTCAGTCGGTTAAACGTCTGCCTTTGGCTCAGGTCGTGGTCCCAGGATCCTGCTTCGAGCTCCACGTTGGGCTCCCTGCTTGGCCGGGAGCCTGCTTCTCCCTCTCCCCACTGCTTGTGCGGTCTCTCGCTGTCTCTGTCACTATCTCTCTCTCAAATAAATAAATGAAATCTTAAAAAAAAAAAAAGATAAATGGCAGCAGAGAATTCAACAGAAAGTGTTCCACAAGAGTGGCAAAAACGCGATCACCCTTTGCCTGCATCAGTAAATCAAGCCACTGCAAGTTGATGAAATGTGGGTCTACCTGGCAAGGCTTTGCTTGTTTTTGACATTTAAGCTATTGTAAAAGAAAGGCTTTTATAGTTGACAATAAATAAATAAATAAATAAACTGGCTTCCTAATTTAAAAATGGAGAGAATATAGTCCATTTACCATCTAACAGTTTTTATTTTGGTGGATATTTAGGTCCACTGGCAATTCTCTCAAAAATCACATGACAAACTGATCTCAGAGCTCAGAGGCATAAATAGACCTCCTGATTCCTAATGCAATAAATATTCTTCACTATTTTTTTTAAGTAGGTTCTATTCCCAACGTGAGGCTTGAACTCAACCCTGAGATCAAGAGTTGCATGCTCTATCTACTGAGCCAGCCAGGCACCCCGACTCTTCACTATTCTATACTATCTTCATTTACCGCAAACTTCCATATACCAAAAAATGTCATTCTCCTGTCAATCTGGTTAATCGATATGTTTTACTAAATCACATTACTCAAAGGTATTAAGTAGAACTCTAGTATTCATGGATAAAACGATATGATGTCTGGGCTCAGCAGCACATGGGGGAGGGAGGGAGGAAATGGGGCATAAGAGATGTTTAAAGGGATGAATGTGAAACAGGATAAGTGTGAGGGATGGTCTGCATCCAGATCCTCCTTCAGGAATTAAGGACTTATAACCCAGCTGCTGAGAACCCACCAAGGCCTGCCATGGTCAAAGGTAGATGCTTTGCCCAAGTTCTTATCCCCTTCCCATAGGACAGTCCATGTCCAATGACTGATCAACTCAAGGATATAAAAACCAGGCCCCCTCATATCAATTCAACATAGCCCTAAAGAGTCATTCTATCTTTAGAATTCCCCTCACCCTCTAGGGTCAACTGAGATTTCATTGCGACTTACCACAACTCAACTTCTCCCTTCGGCAGAATCTGCTTCCTGTCCTTCCCACTCCCTGCACAACCCACCCCCATGCCCTGTGTTTTGGTGGGGTTTTTATGGTCGGTCTTTTTTTTATTTTTTTGAGAGCGTGAGAGAGAGCACGAGTGTGAGCTTAGGGGTGGGGGTGAAGGGAGGGGGAAATCTCAAGCCAACTCCCCACTGAGCACTTAGCCTGAGCCAAAATCAAGAGTTGGAAACTTAACCAACTGAGCCACACAATTCTGTAATGACACCAGGCCAAAACACAAAAACAAAACCAAAACACACAATAATGACAGCTATCTATGAAGAAGGAAATTAAGAAGAGACTAAACCGAGTGGGAATCCTAATTCTGAAGATAAATCATTGGTCTTAAGGTTTTCCTCCCACCTTTGGATACTTCACTGTATTCCAAAATGTAGTTTAATAAATAAATAAAATGGTTTTATTTGACTCACCAGGTTTTGTTTTAAAGATGCACATGTGCATACATGGAGTTTCCAAAAGATGTTTAACAAGAATTTATCTGTAGCCTATCACCTTTCAAATGCTAGCTCTCTGCTGTGAGCGCTGTCCCAAACCCCGATTCACTACTTCTGCAAACATGTTTTCACTACATGTTCTATATACAGGTACATAACACTTAGCCTTGTGTGTAGGTATTTCTTCAGAAATTTGATGTTCCATTACAATCTGTGTTCCTCAAGGGTAAAACCAGATCATCTATGTAAACCCATCACCTTTGTTATTTAACCATTATCAAGCAAGCTGCATTCTACTGGGATTTGTGGTGGCTCACCAACACCTAGAATAGTAATTGACTTCCACTAGTGGTCAATATCGACTGAATGAATAAACGGAATAACAGTAACTAGCATTTATTAAGCTCTCACTGTGTGCCAGGCAAGAGAAGATTTTTTTTTTTTTTTTTTGCTAACTCTAACTCCTTCTGGACACTTTCAAGAACCTTACTCCCTTAATTCTCCTCCTCCTGTTGACCATTTTAATCTCTATTAAATTAGCCTTCATCCTTCAAACATGCTCACCTGTCATTTTTGTCCAAAACACCTTCCCCTGTTCCTGGCCCCTGGTTGTAAATCCAGTTCTCTCTGACATTCTAATTAAAATCAACATTTTGAAACCTGTGGTCTCTGACTCCACTTCCATTTCCTTACTGCAAAAGGCCTCATGTAATTGAGTTTCTATCCTTACACAAGATCTAAGGATCTGAGGATAGCCCCTACATGAGGAGACCGACGGTTCTCTAACATGACACTCCAGGGCAGAAGTCTCCAGTACTAGCAGAGAGAAGCGATGCCTTGGAGAGACCTGAGGAAAGAGAGAATGCTTTGACATTAACGGACCTTTGACACCTATTCTTTCCATTTTTTCTGAATCCAACCATCTTATTCAGTCCTCACAGTATAATAAGGCTGCGAGTGTGACATGGCTGAGCACTTGCTAATCCTCAACCCTCTCCCTTTTTTCTGGTTCAGTTCTCTCACAATTACCCTCCTCCTATTTTCTCAGCTTTCTTCCACCTAAATGTATGAGGGCCTAGGAAGCCAAAGGAGAGTTCAAGGAACAAGGGAAGAGCTTACACCCCTGTTTTTCATTAGATTTAGACTATTTGATTATTCTTTTAATAAAAAACTTCGCATGAAATTTACTTTTCCCCTGACTCTCCCCTACTTTTTATTATGAAAAATTTCAAATGTACAAAAGGTTCAAAAAATAGTATACAGATCATTCAACAAATATGTCATATGCCCCTTGTCAATATTTGTGTATGTATATACATA